ACACTCGTTTTCTTCCATCAAATATTTTACCAAAATAAAGGAGTGCAGAAATATAAAGAAGTCATTTGTAATGTTAAAACAGTGATATTTGTAATAACTGTCATAGAATAATTCAATAAATTCAGCCCGTACATGTTACCCAATCGAAATTCGTATAAAATGCTATATTTTCCATACACACATTTTACCAATAATAGTAAATTAAAACACTTTAATTCTTTTTCGTGACACTGTAATCTTAGCCTCAGACTTACGATCTTCTCACTCATTTGTTTCTCCAAGTGTTTAATGAAATAACACAACACCATCTAGTGATGTATATTGGCATTACAAGTTCCCAATGATTTTATAGTCAACTCAATGTTATCCAGTCAATGTAGTATTATTTCGTTTATCGTAAATATACAACTTTGAACCACCAACTTCCCTTTCTTTCCTTAGAACGACATTCTGAAGATCATTGCATCTTTGCTCCTCCAACTAGTTGACACTCGCTAGCTTTTTGAGATCGGTAAGTGAACACAGACTTATCCAGTCATTGTCATGGAATATTAATTATTTTAATCAACGTATCCGCTGATGTACCTTCTAGCTGTCTCTGCAGAGACCCCGACCTGGAGGTCCTATGTTTCTAGTCCCGACGGTGGCAGATATTCGACTTCAGCTCTGTAGGTCTAATTCGGCCGTGGTCCGGAGAGGTCAAGCGGCGCGTTGCCCTAATAGATAGTTTGTAAGGGTTTGAACAGTGGCCTAACAAGCGGGCCGCGCGCAATCTTTCCTTCCTCTTCCTTGCTCTATCCTCTCGCACACTTACTCTTGCATGCTACACTTCCAACCTTGTCGGGAGCCCTGTGACGCGCTACCTCCTTGGGAGATACCTAGAGGCGGAATGCGCCGCATGCCCGCGTGTAGGTGGCCACCCAATCTCACCATTCAGCGCGGGGGGGGGGAGTAAACAACGCCACCCCTCAGGATACAACTTTCGCTATACTAACGGGACTAGTGACGTCTCAGTTGACGACCCTGGAAACTTTAAACTATACGTTACATTGCGCTTGTTTATCATACAAATCTGGATCGAAAGTACAGTATACTAGACTGAAACATCTTATAATAAAAGTTTATATATTGACGGAAAGACGTTATTAATTGACGCGTACAATGGTTAAAATGATAAACCTTTGAATAAGTATTTGTAAAAAGTAGATGTTTAGAAACTATTTTGAATGAAGCCCGCGATACCCGCCATCTAATATGAACTATCCTGAGACTTTTCGGTGAATTTTCAAGCGATTGAGGGTTAAAATAAATGGATCCTGGTTCTGACTGCCACCACGCAAGTGGCGAAAATCCTCATTTTCTTTGTATATTAGTATTCATTCGTCTCGAGGACCTCCCAATGAATGAGGACTAGTTTATAGCAAAGCAATTCGTAATTAACTTGTCCTGAATCGTCAGGATGCCTAAGGGATTGAATAGGATGTAAATTTCCCCTGTCCACCTGCCCCTGATATTCAAAGTGTCTCCGAGTCAATCGCCACACACGGACCGGCGCTCGTACGAAGCAGGAGATCGAGTGCATGGAAGCGCGGATGGCCGGATGGCCGCGCAGCACTTGCGAGTGCTGAATGCAGTTTCCGCATCGCTGCCCTTCATGCGCAGGGTGAATGGCGCTCGTCTGCTCGCGTTCTGCTTCCTGAATAGCTCGAATTTCGCGCTCATGCAGTGTTATTTCAGTGTTGCTGCCGGACGTAAATGTAGCTACACTGTGAACATTATTTTTTTTGAGCTATTCTTCTGCTAGTTGTGTTCGGAGTAGAGTCGAGTGGGTTGGGTCGCTGTTTTGTGAGCAGTACTATAAAATAAAATCTGTAGTTTGTTAGCTGATGCAGATAGTATTATTCGGATATTACTACAGAGCGAACATTTTGAGACATAAAATCTTGCTAATTACGGTTAGTTTGTACTTTTATTCACCATTCAACTATATTTAGTAAAAGGGCGGGGTAGGGATTATGGGGTTCAAGAAAACACGCAAACATCACATATAGTTTTTATCATTTTCACAAATAAATCTGAAATTTATCAAATGAGGTACACACAGACTTAACAATAACAATGGTTTTATTGTAAATGTCATTAAAAGGTTTCCTTATACAAATTATATATTCTACTTTGTACTATATACTATTCCAACCCTTGCTAAAATGTCAGATGCCCGAGAGAGAAAAATGATATCCAATTCTAATAGACGTTAATCAGATGTCCATAAAGATAGCTTGACCACAAGATACCAGCGGGGCACAATCCTGTAGTCATATCCTCCTTGTCCATCCTTTCCAAGTACTAGAATGCCTGATGTTTGTGTTTTTTCTTGATGTCCCACTTCAGCACCCCTGAAGAGTTGGGAATATATTTAATAATAGGATATACGTAACTGCAACCCTTGAGGCTCTTGCAGTTCGATAAGGACCTAGCTTAAAAATACTATCCTAAAGATGATGCTCTTTTGGGCGTCCGATAAATCGCTCCGATTCTCTATTACAAATACTGCTCTGTTTACCGCTTCCACCTGACACGTTTCATAGTGCTGCCGCCTGCCGTCTGTGAGGCGTTATTGCATGTTTACGTCGAACGTAGGTGGTGGTCACATTAATGTGACTGGACTGTCTGTGCATAACGTTTTGTAAAATAAATGGGAATTTAAAATAGTGAAACGCTTAACATCTCTTTGCCGAGCACGAAACATACTTATAAGCTTTGAGTCGTAGTTTCGAAACCTAAACTAAAAATTTGTTAATTGGGAAATGTTAGGTTCGAGTCCCAACGATGGCGGAATTTCCCCCATGTCAATCCCCCCCTCTACCTTCCCTCCCCTTCTCCCCGTTCGCATTCCCGCCCACGTGAGTGCCCTCCTCCGCGACGTCCATCGCCCGCGTTGTGCTCCTCGCGCCGCCTTCTCTGCCGACTGCCTCCCCCGCGCGGCCGACTCCCTCCTTCCGACTCCGCTAGGGGCGCCACGTGTCGCGCCGCGCCGGCTGCGTCGCATTTCCATAACACGGGCGCCGCGCTGCTCCCTAGGCATCGGAGGTGCNNCCCGCAGATTGAGAGAGCGGAGACCGCTTTACTCGCTGCTGCTGTTTTCGGAATCAGGCGACAGGCGAGCTCGCCCCAGGCAGCGGAGGTCGTCGATGGAAAGAAACCGGGGTCCCCGATGGGCTCAAGGACACACGCAATTTTGTAGTACGTTTGTTTTAGCGCTGTTTCTAAATGGTAATAGAGTAATTCAACTAGTTGTTGTCTTCCGGCGCAAAACTCATGTTATCCCATGCTTAAATTAACTATAAAAATGTATATTACTGAATAGTTTACACATTATTTAATAAAAACATAAGCATATTTGCACATGGCATTTATTTATATTATACGTGTAATACAAAACTGTATGTAATTCAAAATAATTGAAACATATATTTTTTAAATAAATAATCAAAACCGAAGTATAAGTAATTAGAAAATGCGTGTTTTTATAAATTTATAACTTCTAAGCAAATCATTAAAATTATAGCATTTCATCGACAAAAGTTTATATTTGGTGTCATCCCTAAATTCTGTAGTCACTTTTGCTCTTACTCTTAGTGACAAATCTTAAATACAATGCGCACAATGTGCTATTTCTCTCACAATTCACATTCCATAGTGGTTTTGTGAATCATATATCGTAATTGTCAAGAATTGACAAGCAACAATTTTATCCTTCCAAAACTCAATGTGAAGTGGATGTCCATTATTTTTTAGCTGCATCGTGTAATTATTTCGAAGGCATATGTCAGAGAAGAATAACAATTGGAAAACACGATTTTTCAGTCACTGCAAAAAATTGATTGCGAAAAATTACGTGCAACATCCGCAAGGCAGTGCGTATACGATGTACTGCTTGTCCTCCCCTCGTAAAATGTTACTATTCTAAATGTATGTAAATTCAGTGGTTAGGCGGAAGAGCAGGCCCTATGGCCTGAGCCTCGCCATTAATAAAGACATTATTATTATTATTATTATTATTATTATTATTATTATACGAAGAAGGGAACGACTAAGCGCTGGAATGGCCTCTCTGAGACGCCAAAGACAGAGGGGAATGGAGTCGAAATGTGATTTATAACGGGTCAACACGAAAAAGTAAGACTTAATTATCATTTTGTCATACCGTGTTTCACTTTGAACTTTAACGAGGCTCTAAACTCGTCATAAAAGTATTTTGTTTCGTATCTATTGGCTATCAACTCTACTAGGAATTAATGTTTATCACATTTTGTATAATTATAAGGTTACCTTCAGAAAAATACCTGTAAAATACGTGTATTATTTATTTACTAGTAATGCGGTTGTTGTTTGAACATTCCTTTTGTGATTACTTCGGGTCTAGAATAAAGTCGGCATCATTTTTGAGGACCAATTGGAAGTGAATATAATTTAATGAATTGAATTGAAGTGTGGATACCAATTATAAGTGAAATTTAAATATGACTTTTGCATATCAACTCACTTCGACGAAATTCTTTTCATGCTCCTTGATTACGCGACATGAACTAAATTGCAGTGCGAAAATAAAAGTTCCGAGGGCGTATACTTACCTTACGACCATCTTCGAATCGACTATGGGGCAAGCAACACTCTGAAATTCAGCAATTTTCCAACGATTTATTATTGCCTAGAAAAGTTTTTGATGTGTTCGGCACCTGGCTCGACCTTCACCTCAGAGGTGGAGCTATTTGTCCCAGGGAGGGCTTAACTGTGAATTAGAAGTTTGGCGCTGAATTGAAGGCAAATGCGTAAATGTTTTAACAAGTTCACGTACAATTTTGGGGGAGAATTTCACTATTGTGCAAACACACTATTTTAGGAAATCAAAATATCAAAGTATAACATTTATGACCTTAATGTGTAAGAATTTTGTTGTTGTTTTTTTTTTGAATGTTGGACGTGCTTGCCTGCGGCAGGGATCCGCATGCTGGACCAGCCCTACATGACGGATTTGATCGAGGCGAACTCGATGGGCCATGAGCCCAACCTGATCGACATCTACAGCGCGTCGTGGGGGCCGACGGACGACGGCAAGACGGTGGACGGCCCGCGCAACGCCACCATGCGCGCCATCGTGCGCGGCGTCAACGAGGTGGGCTTTTCCTCCTCGCTCGCGCTTCCTTTCTCCTTTCCTTCTTGCCTTTTCACTTTCTTACTTTTCTCTTTTTACTCTGCCTCTCTTCGATTTTTTCTTTTTCTTTTCTTCTTGCTCTTCCTCTTTTCGATTTTTTTCTTTTTCTTTTCTTCTTCTTGCTCTTTTTTCTTTTTGTTATCTTCTTTTTTGCTTCATCTTGTATTTTTATTTCTCGTCTAATTGTTCTTTTCTCTTTTCGTTATCTTATTCTACTTTTTCTTTTCCTTAATCTTTTTTCTTTTTCTCGTTTTGTATTTTTCTTATTTCGTATTTTCTTCCCCTTGTTTGCCCCATTTTCATATTTTTTTCTTACATTTTCTTCTTCAACTTCTTTTATTCAATATTAATTTCTCCTACAAAGAATCACATGAATTAACTTTTGATAGTTCCTCCTGTCTTTTAACACTTTCTCATTTCTACATACTGTTAGTAGTTCACCATTCCTTTTATACAAGACATTCATCTGCACATATAATTGAAATCCTACAAAGGTTGAAACTTGTCAGGAACAATTTTGTATGTCGTGTTACAACTTTCCTCTTGAAAATACTAGTGATGAACATGTTTGAATTTCCGTAAACTGTGATCAGCAATGAAGTGATTTGTGGTTGTCTGTCTTCATATTTGTGTGAAGTAGTCTAATTAATAGACAAATATTAATTTGTAGTACGTACAATAGCTGATATATTCTAATAAAAAATTAATGTGATGAATCTCAAACATTAACTTCTCCATGAAGTGAAATATGTGTAATTTTTGGTGTGGTTAAATCCTTTTTTATGTGAATCGTACGAGGTGGTTTCTGTGGCAGAAAAGGGAAACCTTGCGTAGAACACCTCTTGACTTCAATTTTGAAAATGGTTCTGAAGTAAATGGTTTGAAATAAATATATAATAAAATTTATTAATAATATTTAATAAATGGTTGGAAATAATATATTCTGAAATAAAATTTAATACGGCATATAACTTTGGTCGATTAGATAAAATATAGCGAACACATAATTTGTTTGTATAATGTTTTGTGTTAGGAGTTCTTCATTATTTATTGACCAACAGATATAGTCTTTTCTGTACAACTATTTATTTTCCATTCATTCAGTACAATTTTTAAACGTTATCCGTCTGGTCGTGGACGCTTGTATTTATGTTGATAGGTTGGTACCTGTTAACAAAGATCCCGCGAACAAGCAGATGTGCAACACAAAAATCAGTTTTTATTTATGTTGTGTATAATAGAAAGTTCCCTTACAGTAAATAAAAAAATAGTGTAAAACATCTGTGAAATTCACAAAATAGAGCCTGAATGTCTACCCGCGTGCCAGAGCCCAATCCAGAAAAGCAAAACTCGAATTCGGAATTCGCGTTGTGCGCACACTGCTATTGCTGAGCACTTTGATGTTCCAAAGGCTTCTGCATGAAGTGTGCGCAGCCGCTTTGTGGGCAGGTCAGGCAATCGCATTCACTGGTGCAAATTAATAGCACGTAAGGCTTCAGGGAATAGAGCAATACCCAAACTGTTGGATGAGAACCAGAGGGCAACAAAGCTATTGAGATTCAGCCATCATGTCTACGTGACGTTATAATGCATGTAAAGGTTTGTTTCCTCATCAGCTGTAGTTATGGAAATTAATTCCTTTTTTTGCCGAATATAATTAATGAGAAGTATTTGTCGTTTCAAACTGAAATAAGTTTCTTTATTATTTTAATGTCCACTTCCCTGAAAAAAACAGAACTTCATATCCGCGTGATTACTAACAGTGAGATTTCTGTATTGAAAGTACGCCCATGCAAGTAATTGGGTAGTAACAAAAACGTTTCTGAAAACTGAAAGTAAACCGATTTACGTTGAATACTTAATACAAACGCTAAAACGTATTAAAAAGTAATCGTTTTGTTACATGAAATAGCGTGCAAAAACTAATTAAAAGATCTTAATGGAAACAGTTTATAAAACTGTATCTCTTTAAAGAATATATGTGTGTATTTAGTATATTGATAGAAATTTTTCTTCTTCATCAAGTTAACCCATTTCAGCTCATGTGTATTACTGAGGTCACTCAGAAGCAACGTTCTTGTGAAGGGAGAACAACAAAAGCATGTATACAGCAGTTGTTGGACTTTTCAATAGCTTGCGACGACAGGTTTAACTTAATTCATTTATCAAATGAAAACATAACCATCCCTGCTATTTTCTTATAGATAACACGAAAATAGCAAAAGCTTAGTAGGTTACGAAACTTTAAAATATGGGACTGACGCTCCAACATGCATATAGCGATTAAGGAAATAAAAGTGCGTAGAAAAATCCGTAAAAGGTAATTGGAGAAATAGTACTCTCTTTACCCAAACTTTTCATGAATAACAGAACGAAGTGGCGTGTGGTTTATGAAGATCTTGATATCAGAAAATGAAAGGCATATTTCCGTCGAAACACTCGTTGCCTCATTTCAGAGAGGGTCACAGACGTTTCTGGGAGATGAGATTTACACATTAAATTTACCCACAAATCCACGTCAAACCCATACACATAGGCGCAACCCCGATAGGAAAATTGCAATGAACGAAATCCGTTGGTTAACGGTTTTATCTGGCATAAGGGCAACCACGAACCCGTACCGTGAATGCCCGTGCCGTCAACCTGTAAGGCCGGTACGGGGGTGGTCAGAGTTGCAGCGGACAAGCAAGGAAAGTTGAGATTGACAATATCGCTGGCTGCTTGATGTATGTACGACAAGAGACAGAATACGTATTTTAACTTCAAAATAGTATTACATAATTAGTCTCGTGATCAATTTAAAAATAAACATACTCGTAAAGAAGAACATACAAACATTGAATATAAAGATTAAACGCGGGCCTTAAGTTTAATGTTGTAACGCCCCCGTGCGGGGAGGATCACCGCCTCCTCCCGCGATAGAGCACGCACCTAATGACCTCATCAGCTGACGCGTCCGCAATCAATGCGTGAGGGAACGAGAATATTGGGCGACATGCTAACAGGCATGACTCCATAATATATACATATATCAATTTACAAATAATTAAATTTAAAAGAGAATAAGAGCACTCCCATATTTTTTTATTTATAACAAAAATTTACAATCTATTTTAACTCACATAATGGAATAGTATTTGTAGCAGATTTGAACAAATGTGGAAAACGTGTCCGAGGGAAATTTCTATCAGACTTTTTAAAAATTGTTGCACACCAGAGGTTTGAGCTGTAGTCTAATTAGATGTGTTAATTGAATGTGGAGTTGCGTTGACGAGCGTGTGGCGTGTGTCGGCAGGGCCGCAACGGCCTGGGCAACATCTACGTGTGGGCGTCGGGCGACGGCGGCGAGGACGACGACTGCAACTGCGACGGCTACGCTGCCTCCATGTGGACCATCTCCATCAACAGCGCCATCAACGACGGCCAGAACGCGCACTACGACGAGAGCTGCTCCTCCACGCTCGCCTCCACCTTCAGCAACGGCGCCAAGGACCCCAACACCGGCGTCGTGAGTACCGCCTGCCCCTCCCCTGCCCCTTCTCTTTCGTCCTCTTCTTTTATTCCGTATCTGTAAATGAATCGACTACAGCGAGAATTTTAGTTTAGACTACCACAGATATTTTTGAAACAATACTTTTTCATTGTTAGCTTTTTTAAATGTATTAGGAAGTACTGATTTGTATGTAATGAGAGCTATAAATGGTAATTATAGTAATGGTAAATGGCTTGGAGGGTCACAGCCCCCGTGCCCCCCACCCCGACCCCTACTCCCTAGGAGTAACTCATGGAAATTGGTAGTATTTTTGTGGATCAAACTAATGTTTTTTTTTCTTTTAAAGACTATTATTGCACTTTTAAATGCAATTTGAAGAATAAATATCGTTATTTGCGACAAAGAGTTTTAAGTTGTCGTTTAGACTTTTTTCATGCATCTCTGTGTCTCTACTACGGCGTATATGGCCGTGTGCGTGCAGTCTATTTAATGTAAAATAGACATCCCTTTCACCACAAGTTACGAATATATCAACAGACTAGGACGGACAGTTGATAGTTGGTACTTTTAAAATTGTGCCCAAAGATGACATCTGGACCTCATTTCTTATTATCCCTAAGGAACCAAAGCGCAGTTGTTCTCGAGCTTGAAGAACTTAAGGCTTTCGATTACTTGTATTTTAAAGCCCCAAGAATTGTGGCAGCTTCAAGTTCTACGACATTTGATGCTTGTTAAAGAGGGGCTATTAGTTCACCTTTCAATTCTTCAAAAGAGTCACCTGAGCATTTTTTTATAGCTGTTTCACTGCATTCTTTACTTTGTCGAAATTTTTAAGACATTTCCAAAATAAATGATTATTTAACAAATATATTGTATCCCGATCTTTTATAATACAAACCTCTACCAAAAATAAAAGTGTAATATTTTCAAGATTTGAAAAAATAATATTTGAAAGAAAGCATTTTTATAAAAATATTAGAAAATATTGTTTCTGGAGAATAAAATCCTTTAAAAATAGGATTCTTCGAAGAATTAAGTATTAGAACACAAACTCAGTTGAAAAACTTGGTTAGAGAGTTGCCTTATTGTATAAACGAGCTGCATCCTACGAGCAATATGGAATGCAGTAGAACTCTCCAAAACTACAAGAATATCTCTAAGCACCAGAAATCTCCCAGAATGAAACCGCGAATCTTGGTGACCGCTCTTTATTTGTATTCGACTGAATCTGCATTCTCTATTCGACTAAATCGAATGTGCAAAATTAGTTTGGGAAAGCAAAGCCAAGAGTTTGAACGAATTTTGCATTCGCCCGTCAACGGAATAGAAAATTAGTCTACTTGCGTTATCAGGGAAACAATTCTAGGACAGCTGAATGCGAGAGCAATTCTATCAGTGGGTTGCGCTTCAACGTAATCAAATCCTTTGTTGCAACTTGACCGCGCACCAATATCCAAAAGCTGAGGTCGTATGCTTTCCAAAGACGTCACAGACGGAGTCTCGAATCGTGGCTAGATTGCGTTCAGTGGCGAAGCATTGTCTTGGGAAAAGCCACCCCAAAAACTCAATTAACGTTGAGTTCACCACAATAGCATTGACATCACGGCTTGTGCCTGGTCCTCGGGTTTTAATTAAACATGGAATGTCGAGAGGTAGATTCTGATACACCTCCACCGCCATTTCTCACGCGTTCTGTGAATATGCCCACATTCGTACGTCAGCTTTCCCTCCGTCAGCTTTTATTATAAAGTCATCTCTTATATAATAATTAATTATATAAATATATATTTTGGTTAAATCGTTTTCTACGCAAAAATCCAATAATAAATGTTCAATGTTACGTGAAATAACATTTAAATAAATAACAAGCAATCTTGTGAAAAATATTGATAAGTATATGAAAAAAAAATACTACAATCCAATCTCGAGTGGTTTATAGTTTGAATTTCGTCTCTTAATGTTATTCGTAGTAACTTAATGTAAATTAGTGTAACAATTATGAGGAAATGTTTATTTTCACACATCCTTCGCATTTTGAAATAAAAAAACAATTGATTTTTATTTATCTCAATGATAATTTCGAAGCGGTTTTTCACTTCACACTTTATATATATATATATATATATATATATATATATATATATATATATATATATATATATATATACATAATCTATGATTGGAAGATAAAAGTTAAATTAAATGTTCCTTGGACATTAAGAAGTATGATTCTGCTACCATCAAAAACGTTTAGAGGGAGAATTTTAATGGACTCGTAAAACACAAAATTGGTCTCTCTCAATTTTACAATTGGTAATTTCATCTTAAATCTCCATTCCCTTATCGAGACCTGAATGTAAAACCATATCTCCCCTTCATTACAGAAATCTCGACATTCACAACAAATTCATGCAAACGATGCCCAGAAGGATCTCATTTGACAACTTCAGGCTACGTTTAAACGAATTAATTGCCTTAAACAGATTAATGAGCACATAAATTACGCGGAATTATAGAATGTGAAGAGCAAAGCAGAGAAACGTTAAATGTTCTCAATAAAAAATGTATTCAACCCGCATATTCTGTAACTCTAATTATATACTGAATGTTAAGAAGTAATTATGAATCTCTAATCAAATAGCTTTTTACTACCTCTAAAAGAAGCTCAAGCTTAAAAGAGTTTGAAAATAAATTTGAAATTTGCATGATCAGACAGAAAACGGAGTCTCGGCACGGAAAATTAGACATTATATAAATAACCAAGCAACCAGCTGACTGGTAGTTTCCGTCTTCGTCTCCCATCTGTTGCTTGGCGCTGTATTTTGCCGAGTGCATCTCCTCCCGCTGCTCGCCCGCCCGGAGCGTGGGCATTCGGTTGCGCGTCGGGGGGGGGGGCAGGGGACTCCCCGCGGACGCCGCCGGGCCGCCGCCATTCCCCGCGCGCCTCCGGTTGCGCTGCTCGGCTTTCGCGTCACGTGACACCGCCTGGGCGCAGCCCTCCGCTCCAGGAGGGGCAGCGTAGCAGTTTCAGTTGCTCTTCATACGTATTTTCGCTCGCTACTTTAATAGAATAGAAGAAAGGTATATATTGGTGCAGTAAAAATGACCATTTTTTCGAGAGAAACGTAGATCCCTAATACCGAAAAAACAGATAATTGTTGTTCCTATATCTAGTAAGTAGCTGAAGTATCCCACGTTTCCCGGGTATTTATCATTATTATTTTTTTAGACAGGAAGAGGAATTCCATGTACTCTCACCCTCCAGCGGGACCTACTTATATCTATTCTATTATATCCCTTCTCTGTGTTGCTCCCTTCTGAATGTATCGGCTCTTCCACATTCATTTTCTCACAAAAAAATATATATATTTTCCTTACTGATTCTCCTACCCCCAAACTTTAACTAAAAATCACTTAAGCTAAAAATAGTACAAACTATAACAAATCAAAACTATAAACATAAAATGCCCGAATAATGCTTTTTTGATCTTATTCTACCAATACTTTCAATGAGTCTGGCGACTTGGGTCATTGGTCAGCGTTCTCGCTCTTCATGTCGCGACGCAGGGTTCGATTCCCCGTCACGCAAGATTATAGTGTGTGTTTTCGTTGCAATGCAATGTATATGTTGCTGTGTGACGATGAGAAAATTCACTTCTCAGGTGAAAAAGGACAGAATATGGCGTGGGGATGTTTTCGTGCTGACCACACGTACCTCTTAACCCATGGCCGCGGGGCCGGAACGCCGCTGGTTGGCCATTGTCAGTACACAGTCCGACGCGAACAACCAATATTTTCAGTCTATTCTCACATTGGAAAACTTTTATTTAGCTAATATTTTTTTCTTCTCGCATATTTAAAAAGAAAAATTTTCAATTGATATTTAATGCAATGCCGAGGGAATTTCTGTTTAAATATAATTAAAGTGCTTTTACATCAATTCAAGTAAGCATTTAAGAGACTCCTTGATAAATAGAGACTGACGTAAAGGTGCAATTAACAGTTAGACGAGGTCGTAAGATTAATAATATGAACGCGTTTCTGCCTTCATTTGTTTAAAGTGTTGTTTGGATGTGTCAAAACGTCAGTTGGTCTATTGCGAGGAAGCGAGTTAAGAGTTAGCGTATCGAAGTTAGGGAATATTTTTAGTTCGAAGATCGATTGTTTTCAAGTGCAAAGATGAGTGGTGTCGCAGCGCAACGTGTAGTAATCGATTGACACAGGCGTACTTCCATAACGGGGCCGTGATTTTAATACATTTGTGGTGAATTACGTTTTTAAGTTTCGTTGCGCGTAAGCGAGGTGCGTGTTAACGACGGGATTTCTTTGCAGTATTTTCCTCACACCTTACGTTCTCAGATCTTGGTCAATATAAATCAGAATAAAACATTTCTATTACTTTTTCGAAAACAGGTCTAACTTGCATTCGCAGTTAATAGCGATTGTATTACTCCATGATTACTTCGTGACTTAATACTGAATGACATTAAAGAATGTTTTAGGCTTCGTATTTTTCTAGAGCGATTATGTAGAATATTTCTAACGTTTCTACAATTTTTCATCTCTTTCTTTCTTTCCTTTTTTCTTTCTTTCTTTCTAATTTTGTACTTTTCATGAATGGGCATTTAAAGGAGATGAAAGTGTCTTGAATGAATGAAGTTTCAAATAAAAAATGTTAAAACTAAATAACATATTTGAACCCTTCCCCATTCAAAATGATTTTATATTTTATATTTGAATTTGTTTAGGGTAGACAAAATTCATAATGTCTGGATTAATTACATTAACTGAAACAAGTTTAAATAAAAAAAATCTCAATATTACGTAGCATCTATTTAAACCTTCGCTCATTCGAGATGGTTTTATGTATTTTAATTTTAATCTGATAATGGCTTGACAATGTTCATAATGACTTGTTTAATTGCTTTAACTGTTACCTAAAACTCAAACCACAATACATGTTTTTGCTTAAGAAGATCTGGTAACGGTGAATGTTAGTTGTGATTGCACGTCGTGAGTGCCGTGTACTGACGCACGTGTGTCTGTTGTGTTGCAGGCGACAACGGACCTCTACGGGAAGTGCACCACCACGCACTCGGGCACTTCGGCAGCCGCCCCCGAGGCCGCGGGGGTGTTCGCCCTGGCGCTCGAGGCCAAGTGAGTGCCAGCCCGGGAACTTCCGCCAACCCTGCGCTCTCCTCCGATTGAAACTTCTTGGCATTCGACGAATGTTGAGTAAGGAGGAGTCGGAACCACTGTTATCGAAACGGGAGCTTCACTCTTTTGACGTCACTTGAAGCCTCGAGCGCCCATGCCCGAAATTGTGGCAACACGGAATCCCACTTGATACAGTGTGTCAACTCTCAAGAAATTCCAATCGGAGGATATATTAGCCATAATTTATATTGAGTAGAAACTCCACTCCGCGACATCCATCGCCTCCCTGCCCTTTACATCTCCCTTTTCGATTAATACCATCTGCGCTTTTCTCCCCGTTGCAAATAAAGTTTGCTCAAAAGACTGCTCAAATTTGTAATGTGGGATGTAAAATGTAACATTCACAGGGGATCTTAACTGCTAAAGGCTGTTCTGAGTCGACTGCCTGGGTAGCTCAGTACTTCGAGCAACTGCGTGTATACCGAAATATGCGAGTTCGATTTACGACTGGAGCAGTCAATTCTCTGAACAACCATCAACTGCAATATTTTCCCATAGTTATAAGAGGATGATCCACCTTGTTGAGTGTCCCCGCGCGAAGAAGCAGGCCACTGCCGGATCTACTCCTTCCCGGTGCTTCGTGAAGTGTAGCCACTTGGGACGCAAGCTCGTCTAGACTCACAGTCACTGACAGCCTGAGGGAAACGAACGGAATGGCGGATGTAGCGGGGCTCAGAAAAAACCTTCTTGATCCACATACGTGGAGCTCGCTTCCTTGATTGAAATTATTTCCGCTAAACAAAAATATAAATTGGAAGTGGCGAATCAGGTAGATGTGTAATATAAGCAGGTTTTTTGACTTTTGGTTTTTTGACGTTCGTTGTCTTTCGTTCATCCACAAGCTGCGCCTCTCTGCTCCTCATTCCCGCGGGGCCTAATAGGCGCCCGGACCCCCTCTCATTCAATGGGAACAAGCTGAGAGTGCGAATATTTGTTTTATCTGAGACGCCATTATTAAAAATATAAATCCATTTCATGGTCGGATTTACGAATCCAAAGTTATCGACGCACTTGCAAATACAAATCCTACAATTCTATATATTACGCAAGAGTTTTAATGATAATGCGTATTTTGAATGTAAAAATTGTTTTTATTTGCAGTGTTTATTTCTTAAATATTATTTTAGCAATACTGAAAGTTATTCTACTCAAAACAATATTAATTCTTCATAATGTTTCGCTTTAAAACATTCACAATGTTGGCATTAAAATCTGAAATATTTGTCCCTTCATTTTTTCAAACATTTGTGCTTCTGTAAGCAAAGGAAACAGTTCTATCCTTGGTACTTTGCTCAGCAATGCCATTAAGATCAAGTGGGAAGTAGGATGAACAGCGTACGTTCTGAAACATCTAGGAGGAATAGTTCAAACGTTTGCTTCGAAATAATCGATCTTGGTATCCTCAGAAGCGATCGATTTATATTGCCAGCACCATAATTCACATAGAAAGGGTTATATTTAGTTTTGCACTTTGTTTACAGTAAAAATTTAGCTCCACCTAGGCAATTAATGTGCCATGGGAGTTCCTTTGGATAATAGTGCATGCAGAGCAAATTATGGAGAATCATGTATTAAGTATTAGAATGGGAAAAATGCAGATTGCCCTAGATTTAACGTCGAAAATTTGCACATACTATGCAACCAATTACGTCACTAGGTAACAAATTTTTATCTATGCATTCAATAACATAATGGCGGCTGTAAACTTAAAAAATCTCAGTACTTAATAAAAACAATACATTCTGCGTGACACATTAACGCTTACTCCTAGAATATCTCACTTTCAACTGACAAATAAAATCATTCAATTTCAGTTCGGAACTTGAGCACAATATTATTCGTTGCAACTCCATCGGTCCTTTCTCGCAGATTATTTCGAAGAAGCTCTTCAACATTTAATCTCTACTACATTATTGCATATTACTCGTAGACGATACCTCACAAGCCATCGTGAGATTTCCTTTGTGTTACATTCCAAAGGCACAGGAGCAGCTCTCTTATCGAGGAGTTCATCAAAGAAGAGAATTGCCGAACCCCGGGGGAAATGTGGTGCAATTTCCAAGAAACGAAACCAGCTCGATTCTCGCTCCGTCCTCCGCTCCATTTCTACTTGTTGGCTTGTGCTGGGTTCTAACGGACTCGCATTGCACTGTGTTTAAGACTGCGCTGAAGATTCATTTTAAGAAGGATTCCATTGGATACAATCTTTTTACGAACCTTATTAGAAGCTCAATTACACTAAATAATATTTTCACTTCTGTAAAACATTATTATGAATAATAATATAGCATTTTAAATGTATCTTAATAATATATAAAAATGGTTTGACATGAGTGCCGTTCTCTCTCTCTCGCTCTCGCGCTCGGGCTCTCGCGCTCTCGCTCTCGCGTTCTCGCTCTCGCTCTCGCTCGCGCTCTCTCGCTCGCGCTCTCTCGCTCGCGCGCTCTCTCTCGCTCTCTCGCGCTCTCTCGCGCTCGCGCTCTCTCTCTCGCGCTCTCTCTCGCTCTCTCTCTCGCGCTCTCTCTCTCGCGCTCTCTCTCGCTCTCTCTCTCGCGCTCTCTCTCTCGCGCGCTCTCTCGCGCGCTCTCTCTCTCGCTCTCTCTCGCTCTCTCTCGCTCTCTCTCGCTCTCTCGCTCCCTCTCCCTCTCTCTCGCTCTCTCTCCCTCTCTCGCTCTCTCGCTCTCTCTCGCTCTCTCGCTCTCTCTCTCGCTCTCTCTCCCTCTCTCCCCTCTCTCTCCCCCTCTCTCTCCCCTCTCTCTCCCCCTCTCT